ATATGACTATTAAAAATTAGGTGCTTCAATGAAACTGTACATTTCTCTCTAACTCCTTCGAGGATTTAATCGTTCGTCTTTCATTTCCTAGCTTATTAAATACTGCCAGGTTATCAGAAATCCTCCAGAGCTCACAAAGACCAACAGATTTCTCAAATTCACCATCTAATTAGCTGGAATGCAAGTACCACCAATTCAGGTGATTAAAATGAAAGGTCGAGCTTTATTATTGAATGTACAAATACTTGAATTGTTTCAAAGTGAAGAGATATTATTTCGGTAGGTACTTGAAAACGATGCGCACCAATTAGCTAGCGTTTTGGGTATTACATGGGATTTGCGTTGCCGTATTCTGATTTAAAATGTGTAGTGTTTTACGTTTTGTGCTTTGTGCTTTGTTATTTCGTCTATAAAGTTGGATTTTTAAAAACAGTGGACTGCGACTCTCCTTTAAAAAATAAAGGTATGCCATAATCTTTACAAGTGGCGGGAGAGTTGGATTTTGATGTTTAAAAGTTTCCGATTTATTAGAGTGCTCTGTTACCCATTTTAAGTTTTAAGTGTGGTAGAGCCATGTATCGGCATGAATACGCCGGCTATACTGTAATACCGGTTCGACTGGAGTTATACAACGGCTTCACAGAAAACTAACGTTAAACAATGCTTGCATTGAGTTTCGTCAGGAGGCCCAATTCCCGAATCCTCAAATTCCTAATCGCCAAAAGGCCGATAATGCACTTGTAACACCTCTGGTGATTCAGGTGTCCATGACTGGCGTCGATTGCTTACCATCAGGTTATCCGTCTGCTCGTTTACCGGCTTATCCCATAAAAAATCTCTTAGTAACAAGTGCTGTCTTCTACACCCATGAGAAGAATAATGGTATAAATATATTTTAGCCTATTGTTACCATACAGCTACCTATATTTTGTAACTATGTACCTACATATTTAAATAGAACATTTTTTGTCTAAAATAACAAAAATAAACATTCTTTCTGAATACCAAAATGTTCACGAATACATAGGGTTTGGATATTTAACATACTTTTGACCTGTGCTTAAGAATCTCCGCAAACTTAATCCTCAGAGACATGAATATGTTTCAGAATTAATTCGAGGATTATGTTCAAGAGATTTATATCTTTCGAGGGTCATTCCTAGTCGCTTATACCTTTATATGTAAAGATATGTAGACATTTAAAGAGTTCTCAATTTGTTCATGATTCTTGGAAACAGACTTAAAAGGTAGATAAAATGTAGACTTAAAAGAATATTTTGTTGTTAACATTTTTCTGCTAAAGTAATATTGGTATTTTGGTAAAAGTAATTACATAACTAGTATTTTCTTTTTATGCGAAATTCTTTTGTATTTTTGATACTTGATAACACGATACTATGTAGCGTCCCATAGAAAATTAAAATCCGAATGTTCGATGTGTGTGTGAAATGTTCGAAACTAGTAAAACATAAAATTCATTTCTAGTTGACTTATACCATATTTCCTCAACGACATTATAATAAAATAAAAACTCCAAACCTGAAAAAGTACCATAAACCAAAACCTCATCTCGCAGCTCATCAAGCTAATCTTTTTCCTGTACTGTAACACACGAGTAAATCTAGTGCGTATGTTCCCAGCCTTATTATCAAGTACGGTGTGAAATTATCTCAATTTACGTGGTCATTAGCAGAGTCGCACGGGAGAGATATCCGGTTGGCCGCTTATAAATCTGAATTTAATGACCGTTCCCCACCGAGGTACTAATATTCTGAAATTCCGAAAACCCGAGCTATGTTCGGGGACAGACGTTCCTAGTACGTGGTCCTGTGCATTGTTTGGCAAAGTTTGCGCCCTTTAGTTTTGTACCTGTTTGTACGGCTAAAGATGGCTAATTGTTGTTTTGTTATTGTTACAACCGTAACATGGGACGGAAATACTGGAATGTTTCGATGTTTTGTTAATGAAGTGTGTTGGCGTATTGTTGTATCTGTAGTTAGTGTATTACTATTGTATGTGTATTTGGTTTGGAAATAGTTCTGAGGATAGAATTCTGTGCTTTGGTTGAAGTTGTAGTAAGAGTATGACTCAGAATTGAATATGATGCTTAAAATAAAACAGATTATGCTTATACAGTCTTGCCAGGCATACTTAACTAACAGATAACCCACGAAACAATAAATTAATTCAATTTGAAATGTGGAGAACGTGTGAATTACTGAAACAATTTAGAACCTTGTTTTCTTAATTCCAAATATCAGCCACCTCCTGAAAAATGTTGGCGTTTAATTTGGTTCTCACAAAGCTGTTTTAACTAGGAAAAGAGGTCGAATGTTCTCGAATAAATGGAATTCCGGTGGAATTAAAATTCATTGCTTTTCAATGCACACCTCGGTTATAAATTTAGATTCTATTATATTAAAGATTTTAGCGACTTAGCAATATTCTCGATTGCAACATAATTAGTTACAACTTCATATTAGATTATGACATTTTTGAAAAGATATTTTACATAAACATAAATAAATTTAAGTGCAAAGACATCAAATATTGTTTAAGCCTATAAACAGTATCGCCATGATTACAACAACCATAAATATTATTTTATTTTACTTATATTATTTCTGTACATGCAAAATTTATTTCCACATTACCTATTTACTTTTCTTTGTATATTCTGCAGCAAGAATTGCCAATGTCAGTTGACAGAGAGTGGGCTGTCGTGACGAACAATTGTATTGTGGAGCGGTGGAGTAAGCGTGTGTAGCATGTTCTTGTGTTCCAGGGGGTGCTCGGAGACGGCGCGCCTAGGCGGACTCAGGTAGCGTTTGTTGTGCGTGCCCTAGGCTGTACTGTTGTCACTGTCTGTCAAATAGCGCGCGCAGTGAGCGAATGTCCACGTCTAACCTTGCCGAGTACTTGCCTTGTTTAGTAAACAGTATCATTGATTGGTCTACTGATACCTATTGTTCTGTTTTGTTACGCCATTTAAATTAAATAATTTCGGTCATCGCCAAGGCAAACTCGACCGCTAACGTCAAAGGTTACACGTGGAACGCAAACACTCACTCTGCACCATTAGTTATCGTCGTGCTGTAAAAACTATTTTATTTTTTCTGTTTTCGTATTCATTTCGATGCGTAATTAGTGTGGATTTATGTTGATTATGTCATTAATTTTGTTTTTATTAAAAAGTTCTTTTATATTGAACGTCGATTTCTGTAAAGAGCCAACTCTCGCCCAAAATTGAAGCCGCTCTTTGATCTAAACAAGAAGAAACCAATTGGGTGTCGCGAACTTTATGCTCACACAGAAGTCTTGAAGTAACAAAGCCCCAGAGGGTTCCGTAGCCCCTAATCGATGTGTGACCCCTAATAATCTACGGGACCCTCGTCGATTCACCATTGCAACGTTTTAGTGTAATGTGCTAATTTTTGTGTTGACCTGAATTTTGAATTTTGTTCGTTGTATTTCATTAACTAAAACTGTGTGTTATGTGTTATCATAGAGCTGTTGTTGTTCCATCACATGTGATACGATATGGTGATGATGTTGATGACGTCACATGTGATATGGTGATGAAGGTGATGGGAGCGGGCGCGTGTAGTGGCGGCGCCGCGGCGACTCACTCATCACCCCGAGATAGGGCGCTGATTTGGAAACGAATTGTTAAAATCTTGACTATGTGCATCCAGAAATTAATATCACATCAGGACACTGAATTGCATAAATCACGAGTGATGTGTGACAAGTAAAATTTAGCTACAAATGACGCCACAAAATATTGCCATTGAATGTCAATGTGTTTTTTCTTTAAGTTTTTACCTGTGTCCAAAATTTTGTTCGATTTTGTTATATGCATATGTATGTATGTGTGTCATTTATTCATGGTCGATGTCCGTCCATCTTCTTTAACTTAAATCTAAGAGTAAATAATAAATTTGTGTCTGAGACAACAATACACAATACAAAAGTCTAGTGAAAATGTATGAAACCATCGATATCATCAATTTAGTTTTTATCTCTGTATCAATTTCTCGATGCACCACAAAATTTTAAACTCTTTCTAGGCTGTCTCTTCCTTGACTTAACATTGACAACAGTAGCAACTTAGTGCGCGCGCACACAGCGCTACAACCGGCTACGTAAATGCGCATACATTTGTGAAGTAGCAAAAATATTGATATACTATCAAACCTGTATAATTTAAAATTATCTCATGATTTTTACAGCAAAGTATGCATATTTACGTCTCATACTCATTGATTTTAAATGCATTATTATCAAACTGAAAAACAACTTATTGTTTGATCTGTACAAAACAAAGTTTGAACCGAAATTAATAAGCTGTTTTTCCACACAAAATTAATAGGTACCGTGGCGCTTGCGGGCAACTGTCGCGCGACAGCGGTGCCACTATGTGTGGCGTTGTGTACGCGCGCCATTATCCGAATGTAACGCGCTTCAGCGCCCTGTCGATGAGGCCGTCTGCACTCGCCCGGTCGCTACTTGAACCTGGTCCTTTGGCACCGAAGTCCAGTTTAAGCCCGCCGCTCCACGCACCACCGCTAGGCTTACTGTGGTGTGCCTCTTTGTTTGACTGCGTCCTGTTGCTAGTTACAACTTTGACAAACACGAAGTTCTTAAGTCTAATCGGAATTAACTATTTGAGTTTGAGCGTCGAGAGTTGTAGCAGCGTAGGCCCGTCGTAGCTTGGCGTAGGCGCGTAGCACAGCATAGACGTGCGTAGCAAGATATTTGAATCATTCGATTGTGGTTATTTTTTCAGCAGTGTCGTGAGAATAACAGTGTTGTGTGTATTTATTATGTAATACGGGTAATACTAATTGTTAAATGTTATTGTTTCTAGTAAGAATGATTGATGACGTCAAACTTAAATAGGTTTATATGTAACTTGAATATTGAGTGTGGTACACTAGCAACGGAACGCCATTTTGTCGTGCCATGTTTGGAGTGTAACCGAGTGTTTCTCGTCACAGATCGGAAGCTGTTCGTGGGCATGCTGAGCAAACAGCAGACAGAGGAGGATGTCCGTCAACTGTTCACACCGTTCGGCACAATAGAAGAGTGTTCGATACTACGGGGGCCGGACGGTGCGAGTAAAGGTCAGTTATCTTGTAAACCAGCTATTCTATATGCAGTTCTATTATAAGAAGAGTTAGGTACATATTTACTTATTGAAATTAAGCTAAACTAAGTAATCACTTGGTACAAAAATAACTAAAACAATACAGACCGAGGAGGTTCGAGCCAAAAATATCTTACGACTATTAAGTCTACCTTCTTTTACCACGCCGATACGCACTCACTATCATCATAACAAATGCGGGTACTCAATGAATTATTTACGTGGTACCCCGTCCTCCCCTACCCCTCCTAAGGTATAGTGACCCCCCCCCCATATAAATAGCCCCATGGAACTGCTAAGTCGGGGACTAGGGAAACTTTACTTGTCCTTGTTACTGGTCGATCTTTTTGATGAATTACTTTTACCTTTTTTTGTTTGTCTCATTTATTATTTGTTTCGGATTGAATTAAATAGTGTGTTGTTGTGTTGTTCGTGGTCAACTGTGATTGGTACATCGTTGCTTGTGTTTACATAAGATGTTCTTAGAATGTCTTTATTTACAAATCGATTATACGAATGATCAGATTTTCGCAATATGTTTAATTTTACTTTTCGTCCGTTGCTATTCAGTTTTCCTAAGAAATGTTTGGAACACTTTTTGAATCTGGTTATTTACATAATGTAAACACTTCAAAATCTAATTCCCACAAATCAACAAACCGAAAAGCAATATAGTCGAAATAATTTATCGTGTTCATTGAAATCCGTAGTACTCGCGCCGCCTACGCCCGTTATACGTCATATTGGGCGACGCGACAGACCGGCTCGATGTAACTCCGATTTAATTTCGTCCCGACCAACAAAATTGCCGGATTTTAATTGAGTTCCAACAGTAAACTCCGGTACGAGGCGGCGGTTTGTTAGTCACCTAAACAGCGCTCTCTTTATATACACATTAAGGCTTTTTACTCCCGAAGAACGTTATTATTGAACGATAAAGTTATTAAGTACGGAGGTACAGATGTACGGAATAGCGCTGCAAATTGTTAATTCGAGTTAATAACGAACGCCTCAGCCGAACGATAAAGTAATTTTTTACGAGCATCGTCCGAACATTATCGTTAATGTTTTGCCGTTATAAATTAAGTGGTGTTTCGACCTCAATCTTGGGAGATTACTGAGTTTAGGAGTAATGGAATAGTCGACAATCGACAGGTTTTCATTTTTAAGTGGCTTTAATGTCTTCAGTCAGTGAGCGCTGTAGGGTGCCTAATGATCACTGATATCGTAGATTCAGGTTGCATTTTCGATCACTTATAATCGAAAGGTTCCAAACTTATACTAACAATTGCAATTCAATATTGCACATAATTATAGTCATGGTATTAAAATTAATACAGTCCCAATTATTGCTTACCGATTTTAATCAAATCACTAAACATTAGTAGTCAATCGTTTTATTTGTAGTTTCATACTAGTTTCAACTTTTTTGTAAGAAAGAAAGAAAAACCATTTATTTTGCTACGACACACAACAAGAAATTAGAAATACAAAAAAAAACGTATGGTGCGTCGCAGCGCAAAACATACACCTGGCACAGAGGCTCGAGCCCACGGCGCTGATTTTCAGCACCAGCCCGTTATAATACGTACTAGTTAAACATCTACACTAACGCTTCTCGGAGTACAGCATGATGTATAAAATAGTAAATTAATATAAAAGTGAAAACAAAATCAATAGCTACGATTACTGCCAAAAATCTAAATAAATGGATAAAAAATAAATAATGAAAATAATTTTCTGTGCCCTTCTTTCCAAAATAGTCATACTATGATATTCGTGATGTGACCACATAAAGGTACCGCGCACATGCGCGCAGCTCTAATTCTATTCCCTTAATGAATCAAGATACCATTACGTGGCGTTAGGTGATAAAAGTATTATTTATTACACCTCTCTATCTTCCTTTTTTCCTGTCTCTTTCTCTCCTAATTTAATCTTATACGCGTATTTTAATGCCAGGTATCATAGTAAGGGTAATGTAAAAGCTATTAAGACGCCTAAAGGTAGACAACTATTTTATTAGATGGTCTGTTGTTATTTCTTCATTATTATTTTTAATTTTTTCGAAGACATATCTAAAACAAAATAATATAGTTTTTATAATAACTATCGTGAGACATACTAAATTAAGTAAAATCGCGGGTATATTGCTTATATTCTATAAGCTTTTCTCAGTATATTCACGTGAGTAACCCGCGGTTTTACTTAAAATAATATAGAATTAATATTTAAAAAAATAAAATAAAAATATAACTCACGACAATGGCTAAGTTGTCAAAGCCATATTACCTACATTTTGGTGTTCTTCAACTTTACAATTAACAATACAGTAGAAAAATCATTAAACAACTTCAATTAGAGACTTGTTCAATTGTAGTCGGTACACACACGGATACAAAGCCCTCAACAAATCCCTTCAAGCGAATTGAATCTTTACACACATATACACAAGTACCTATTTGCTATCATTAAGCGCGAGACATCTTTTGACCTCGCATTTTGAGAGTTAAACCTAATTAACACGAAATATCAACAACAAAGCGAAAATGTTTTCTAACGTTACAAACAACTACATATATTATATTCTGTGTATTTTGCTTTTTGCTAATTATATAATATTAGCTAACTTTTTTATACAAGTTGCTTGTGTTGTATAACCGTTTTATATTATTTTATTTTATTTGTATAAAAAGTATGATAACATAGACCTTTATTGGTTAATTGGTTAGTTTAAATATCTTTATTTTTTCGTTAACATTTTCAGTTTGACTTATTAAAATTGTCCGTATAAAATAAAATAACAATGACAATCTTAGATAGATTGTCATAAATTATATTATATTATAAGTGTGGCAGAGCCATGCTTCGGCACGAATGGGCCGGCTCGATCAGAGTGATACCACGGCCTCAAAGAAAACCGACGTGAAGCAACGCTTGCGTTGTGTTTTGTCGTATGAGTAAGGTTACCGGAGGCCCAATTACCCTCCCCTTCCCCAATCTCCCCAATTCCTGAATCCCCAACGATCCTCAAACTCCTAATCCCTAAAAGGCCGGTAACGCACTTGGAACGCCTCTGGTGTTCCAGGTGTCCATGGACGACGACGATTGCTTACCATCAGGTGATCCGCCTACTCGTTTACAACCTTATGCCATAAAAAAAATTAACTCAATTTAAAAAAACTATTAAAATCACGTATGTTTACAGCAACTTACATAACATACTACTTCAACTTCAACAACCCACTTCATCTGAACTCAACACTAATTTGTCACTTCACAAATCCTCCTACATATATAATATATACGCAATTATATATACGAGTTGTCTGCAAAGACTATAAGGGTCTACATCCTCAGCTAATTATGAGACTTAATTACTTTCCTTCGTTTTTGTATACAGTTATTAAGAGCCAGTCTCGCGCATGTACCCTATGAAGTTACACGACATTACACTGAAAAAAAATTTGGAAAAGAAAATGTCGTAACAAGGCCTTTTTAAAATGGATATACAATTTTATTTGTTATTTTCTACACGGAAAAAAATGTCATGTTAGTAAAGTAAATAAATATAGTATGATTTAACTGGTTTAGTTGATGTAAATCTGAACTTACCTTTCGGAGAAAAAGTCGTCAGACTTTTTCTTAGCAATACACTTGTGCTATATTATCAGACTTAAATTGTTCCTATTTAACACATAATATCACGCCTTTTATTCCCGAAGTGGTAGGCAGAGGTGCACATTATGCCACTGTACAATGTAACATCCACTTTTATGTTAAGAGTCCCATGTAATAGGGGGTCCACTTTTCACTATTTATGTTATTAGTCCTATGTCATAGAAGGTAAGCCTATTGCCATATACCGCGCACAATTCCACACTTCGTGCTACTACTGAGAATTTTAAAAAATCCATTAAACCTTTGCCCGACCCGGGAATCGATCCCGAGACCCCTTGTCCGGCAATAGCACTTGCGATCATTGGGCCAACAAGGCAGTTCCTATTTAACTTTAAAACAATTCAATGACCTCAATAAAAATATGCCAAACAAATTAAAGATTCAGCGGAAAGCAACAAAATTACAAATTAAGGCCACTCTAAGTACGAAACAGGCTCATCCGTATCAAAGAAAACAAAAACTTAATATTAACTGCGGCAACTTTTTAACTCTCATTCCTCATTCAGCGCACCAAAGAAACAATCTGTGCCTAATAACGGCGCCGCTCTGTGTACCTCGTTTATGAAATTTCCCGTCCCTTAAGTGACATAAAGCGTTTGCGCAACAAGAACTAAAAATATAATTTTGAAAAGAAAAACACACAATTTTTTTCTTTCTCCTGTTAAGTATAGAATTGGGTGAGTTTAGGTGTACGTACAAAATCTACAAACGGTCAATAAATGTCGTTTTAATTTGCAATTGCTGGCGTTATCTTCTCCGCTCACGTGAGTGCTGTGTCGAGGGCCATATTACGTATCCTATCATCGATAGCCGATGTCGAATAACGTTAGCGACCGCTTACGATCCCGTATTGGGACGCCAGAGAATTTTTAGTGGCCAATTTTATGGAAGTTTTCAAGATCGCTGTGTTAAATTTTTGTTGCGGTAAGCGGTTTTCATGTGCTATAATCTTTTAAGAGTTCTTATTGATTAAATTTTGAAGCTAGTAGTTTTTTAAAACTTGACTATAAATTCAAAGAATCTTTGGTAATATGTTGCAACATTTTCTTTGTTTAAAAATCCTTGAATTAGAACAACTTTCTAAGACAAATAAAATGTTGCAACTGAAATCAAATACAAGCGATAAATCCTTCAAGAATACCACAAATTTCCGACATAATAACTTTTCGAATCATTCACAATTTCCTACACTTCACACCAATAGTCACCTCGGACTAGAATCGGATATTCGTCATAAGTTGCGACGATCTCGTTACTCTCCAGTTTAGCGTTGTACGTAATAAGGTCGTGGGGTCA